GTCTGAGGATTATGTTGATGAGACGGATGATGATGACGATGATGATGCTGATGATGCTGATCAGGATTATCAGGATGATCAGGATGATCAGGATGATCAGGAGGATGATCATGATGCTGATGATGATGCTGGTGATGATGATGGTGATGGTGATGGTGATCATGACGATGCTGATGACGATGATGATGCTGAAGATGATGCAACTGGTAGAACACATGGCGACGATGATAATATAGGTGATGCTGTCGATGATGATGATTATGATGTTTGTTATTCTGATGCTGATGACGCTGCTGCTGATGATGATGGTGATGATGATGCTGATGATGCTGATGATGATGCTGATGATGCTGCTGCTGATGATGATGATGATGATGCTGACGGGGAGGAGGAGGAGGAGGAGGAGGAGGAGGAGGAGGAGGAGGAGGAGAAGGACGATAAGGATGAGGTTGATGATGATAATGATGATGATAAGGGCACTTTGGGATGCTCCGTTCTGGAACGAAAGTGGCCCATGTGTTTTCACGCTTGCTGCGCTCTGGGGCGAAAGGGGCTCACGTTGCGCCCACCCCGAACGCGTGTTTTTACGTATGCGGCGGGCCACCCACGGGGGGTATCTCACACGTGGTTGTTTGGGTGCCCTCAGCGTGGGGGCCCACACGAGCCAGGCAAAACCAATACATCTACACGGGATGTGTTAGAACCTGACACGATTTTCAACCGGGGCATCGAACATCGTTGTCCCGAGCGGGAGCCGCGTGTTTCACAAGTGTCCAGGCCACTCAGGTGGATATCTAACATGGTGGTCCCGAGCTGGAGACACGTCTTTCCATGTGTCCAGGCCACCTGGGGCGGTATCTAACATGGTTTCCCCGAGCTGGAGCCATGTGTTTTCACGTGTCCAGGCCGCCCAGGGGGGTGTCTACCATGATTGTCCCGAGCTGGAACCACGTCTTCACACGTCCAGGCCACACACGGAGATATCCTACATGTGGTCGTCTGGCTCTATGTCTGGGTGTTTCGAGCGAGGTCTGCGGAACTGAATCGGATCTTGAGCTCGAGCTGGTCGAGCGCCCCGCGCGTTTCGATTGCAACTAGCCCGAGCTACGCGTTCAGACAGCACGAGTGGAAGATCCAAATCAGTTCGGTCAGGATTATGACGCCAAGGACGGCTTGACCCACAATGCAATTGCGCACAGCACAGCTCAACGCGGCATGTCCCCTGGCGCGTCCCCTGGCACGTCACTATGTGGCGCGGCACAGCGTAGAGCAGCACAACACAGCCTTTGGCAGAATATCATCATCATCACCACCACCACCACCACCACCACCACCATCATCATCATCATCATCATCATCATCATCATCATCATCATCATCATCATCATCATCATCAGCACCATCATCATCATCATCATCATCATCATCATCATCGTCATTGTCATTGTCATTGTCATTGTCATCGTCATCGTCATCGCCATCGTCATCGTCATCGTCATCGTCGTCATCATCATTGATATCTTCAGCATTGCCACTGCCCATCGCCCAATGGAGGTGCTTGGGAGACGTTCCCATGCCTCGCAGGTCAAAATCCCTTTCGGGGTTCGTGGGTCGATCATATTTTATCCTCTGGCGCGTAGCGGTCGGTACCCGGGCCCTGGGCCCAACCCGCCCCCCCCGGGTAATGGTAGCGATCGTACGAGGGGGGGGCCTGGTCCCCCCGCCACATGCCGGTGCTCGCAGGCATACTATGGCGCTCGCAGCGCACCCCGCCCCGACTCCCCGACGTGCCCCACCCCGCTCGAGCGTTATCGTTAGTTTGGGCCTCGACCCCCTCCCCTTCGCCTCCCGGGTGAAGCCCCCAAAAATCAACATCCAAGAAATTGGGCAGCACATGCTACAGGTATTCGACTTCATCATCGTGGTTTCTGGGTGGATGGGGTCGCAATATCTCGCCAGTCGATGGGGTCCTGCAGGCGCTGCGACCACGCGTGCTCCAAGCCAAGATGAGCAACCAGAGCCTTAACGTAGCCGTGCCGAAACGTGTAGTCTATTTCGTGTTTAGCCGTGATATGGGCGCAACTTTAATGGCACACTCTTTCCGCGTAGTGTCGGGGTGTCTATCCTCGTTCCCGTCGTCTTCCTTCCATTGTTTGCCTCCTGAGGGCCTCCTGGGAGTCTCAGGGGGCCTCTTGGAGGCCTCTTGGGTGATTGGGGCCTCTCGGGGCCTGTTGGAGCTTTTTTCGGGGGCCCTCGGGACCGTGCCTTCAGAATCCGTTTTGGGTACCTCTGTGGGCCGCCTTGGGGCCAAGGGCCGTCTTGGGATCCATCAGGGCCGTTGTGGGGGTCTTTTGGGGAGTGTACCACCCGCCTCGGGCAAGCCAGTGATGCTGGCCCTCCTGGGGGTCCTCCTGGAGTCCTCTTGGAGCCCTCCTGGGGCCGCATTGGAGGCCTCTTGGAGGCCTCCTGGGGTCCGTCCTCGCAGCCTCCGTGGACTTCCTCGTCCGTCGTGGGCGCCCCGGAGCGCCCCGGAGAGCGCCGGGGAGGCGCCGGCGCGGCCCGGGAGGCCTCGGGAGGGGGGGTCGGGGCAGCCTGCCGCGCCCCGGCGTGCCAGGGTGGCATGGTGGCGGGTCAACTCGGTGGCCTATTTCGAGCTCGAGTGGTTCTCGGGGGCAACGACGGGGGGGGGATATCCCAGACCCCCTCGCGCTGTGGAAAAATCACAGCGGGAGGTTTTTCGCAATTTTCGGCCTCTGGGGGCCCTTCCTGGGCCTCGGGACCGTCAAAAAACGACTCAGGATGAAATACAGGTCCCGGGGAAGGGGTCCAGACCTGTGGGGGTCGACGTTGTGTGAAAAATCACGACGTCGGGGGTCTGGGATAGGCATGTGGGGGGGATGCATCGATCCCCGATCGTCCATTGATCGCCGACAGGGACCCGATGGCCCCTCCCCGCCCAGGAAGGTGCGGATTCACGATCGGGAGCCTATCGCCAATCTATTGGCGCTGTATCGCCGATTCCAGGTCGATGCATCCCCGCCCCCTATGCCTATCCCCCCTACCGTTGCCCCTCAGGTTTGTGAGCCACCAGACAGGGAACATGTCTAAGGCCGGCTTCGGAGACATGGAGGCCTTGGCCGTGCTGCTCTCCTTCGTGGCCGGCAACGTGGCCTGTGGCCTGTTCATCGCAAAGGATCCGAGCACACAAAGATAATAGTCATAAGCTTTCGGAGCTCCAGACCTCAGGAAGTATAACGCACATGCGTATGTTTCTTATTGTAGTGGCCACTGGCCAGTGCCGCAGATCCAGGGCGATTCCGCTGCTGTCGGGGGCAGTCCAGCGCGTCTATGTTCCTCCTCCTCCTCCTCCTCTTCCCTCGTCACCGTCATCTTTTCATTTCCTTCTCGTTCTTATGCTATTCCTTGCCCTCGTAATGCTGCTGTTGCTATCGCTCCGTGCAAGCTGTTCGCGCGGTCCGTTGGTGCCCGGGGGGAGACGGTTCAAAAAAGGGACAGGAGTTAGGTGTTTTTTTTCAAAACGATGTGAACAACAAAAAAAAACAGGACGCAGGAGGGAGGACAGCAGGATACGGTCTCCCCCGCATAGCGAGCGTCCCCCGCATAGCGAGCCTCCCCCGGTCTCGATTCCTCTCCGGTCGCGTTCCCCGCCCCTCGGTCGCGACTCCCATCCTCTCTCAGTGGCGATCCTCCCCGGTCGGGAACTCCCCAGTCGCGACCCCCTTCCCGTCGCGACCTCCCACCCGGTCGCGACTCCCCCGGTTGCGACTCCTTCTCTCCGGTCGCGACCCATGCTCCCGTCGCGCCCCCCTCCCCCCCCCGGTCGCGACGCTTTCTCTGGCGGCCGCGATTCCTCGCGGTCGTTCCCCCCCCTGGTCGCGCCCGCGATCCACTCCCGAGCGCGCCCCTCCCTCGGTCGCGATTCCCTCCCAAGGCGCGACCTTCCCCCTGGTCTCGATGCTTCCCCGGTCGCGACTTTCCCCTGGGTCGCGACGCTCCCGGTCGCGGCCCTTCCGCGGGTCGCCACCCACCCTGGTTGCGTTCCCTCCCTCTCCCTGTCGCGAACATCCCCCTCCTGGGTTGCGACCTCCCCCCCGGGCGCGAATCCCCCATCTGGGCGCGAGCTCCCCCCCCCCCCGGTCGCGACCCACCACCCGGTCGCGAGCGAGCATCCCCCCCCCCTTCGAGCTCCCCTCCACCCCCCGAGCACCGAAACGCGTCAGCCCATTGCACGTCAGCCCACGTCAGCCCCCTCCCCCCACGTTAGCCCGCGTCAGCCCCCCCCCCTCCCTCGCCAGAGCGAAGCTCGCTCCCCCCCGCCTCCCCCCGAGCTCCTTCCCTCCCGAGCACCCCCTTCCCCCGAACACCGAAACGCGTCAGCCCGCGTCAGCCCCCCTCTTCCCCTTCCCCCCCCCCGAGCACTCCCCATTCCCCTCCCGAGCACCCCCCCCCCGAGCACCGAAACGCGTCAGCTCAGGTCAGCCCACGTCAGCCCGCGTCGCCCCCCCCCCCCCCTCGCCAGAGCGAAGCCCCCCCCCCCTTCCTCCGAGTACCCCCCCCCGAGCACCGAAACGCGCTAGCCCACGTCAGCCCGCGTCAGCCCCCCCCCCGGTCGCCAGAGCGAAGCTCGAGCAAGCTCAAGCCCACGCTCTCAGAAATTCACGCGCCGAATTGGCGGATTTGAGGTAGGGCAGGAGCGCGAGCGATGAGAGCCGAGGGAGGACGAGGACGACGACGAGGACGACGACGAGGACGAGGAGAAGGATTCTCGTCATAAGGAGGAGGAAACAGAGGGGTCGGAGGGAGGAGGGATGGGGGAGGAAGGAGTAGGGGGAGAAGGGCGAGCAGAGAGGAGGACGATGAGAACGACAGTTTTTGTTTGGGCCGTTTCTGTTCCTCCGCAGGACACCGTGCACATTGGGCTGGCCCTCTACGACTTCGGGCTGCTCAGCATCTCTGGGCTGCTGGTCGCCGCCACGCTGATGCACCACAACCGGTACGCCAAGTTCTTTGCAGCGGCCGCATGCGGGCTCCAGAACGGTATGGCGACCGAAGGGGAAAACTATCATTGCGGGGGGTTTGTGGCAGGATTCGGGTCCTCGGAACGGCAGTCGAGGAAGAACACGTGCAGGTGCCGCTGCCCTTGCCCCGTCTTGACTTTTGGGGCCTCCTGGGGGGCCCTCGTCGCCACGGCTGGATTCTCCTGGAAGCTCTGGCCAGAAAGCACCCCAGGAGAGGTCCGCGGAGTTGCGGCATCGCAGGGGATGACACATTGCATAGAAATAGATTGTCGGAGCTCCGCGCGAAGGAGCGAAACAAAACCTGATGGATGGCTTTCTGCGAATTTTCGGCCTCGAGGGCCCTCGCTGGGACCTGGGACTACCAAACATTGACACCTGGGGTGGAAAACCGGCCCCTTGGAAAAGGGCCAGGGTTTCCAGGGACCCCAACAAGGCATCAGAAAACATTTTCGGAGCTGCGCGCGGATATCGTGGATCTGCGCTGGAATTCCTGGCGGCGCAGAAATCCGTGCGGACCTCCGAAAGGGTTTGCTTGTATCGTGTTTTGTTCCTCTAGGCATGGCGAGCTTCTGGGGCGGGGCAGTCGTGCGCACCACGCACGTGACGGGCCTGTTCACTGACGTAGGCCTGCTGATCGGCCGCCTGACGTCACTGATGGCCCGGAAGCGCTTCGGGAAGAGGTTCGACAGCATCGACCGCGTGGAGGTGGCGGACAGTGTCAACAAATTGTGTTTCCTGTGCGTGCTGGCGGCGTCCTTCCTTATGGGGATCATCATAGGCTCCAAGGTGCACGGCGTGATGCACGAGTACGCGTTCCTGGTCCCGGCGGTCGTCGTGGGCATCTTGGGGATGGCCTACCTGGTCCACCGGGTCTTCATCCTGAAGCAGAGGCTCCGAGCGGGGCTGGTGCGGCCCTCCCGCCTGGCCCAGAGTCGCTCCAAGCTGGCCCCCTGGACTCATGGGCCAATTTTCCGCCACCGCTGCGATGTGCAGGACGGGGGAGGCGGGCCCGCTTCCCCCATCCCAGCAAGGTGACCCCAGCTAGGCCGAGGCAGAAGCAGTTCTTGCCAGGCAGCATGCCCCAGAGCAGGCGCCAAGCCAGACACCGGCCCCACAGCTCGATCGATCGATCGATCCTCCTCTCTCTCCTGCCTGTGGCGTTGGTGGTGGAGAATCGGCCCATCCTGGACCCCACTCCGCGGTCCATCCCGATCCGCTTCTCGAGGCGGATCCAGCCGTGGCGAGGAGAGGCCCCGCAGGAGGCCCACGGATGACGAGCGAAGCGCCAGGGAGGGCCGCTGCTGTCTCGACCCCGGGACTCCCGACGCCATGATCTCTTCACGGCATCGATCCCCGGAGGTCTTGACCCTTCGTCCCTCCTCCCTCCTCCCACTCCTCCTCCTCCTCCTGCGTCCCTCCTCCTCCTCCTGAGGCTTCTCCGTAACCATTTGGGCTCTGGGCAGTTACGACGTCACGTCCCACGCCTCCACGTGGCGCTTGGGGGACGCCCAGGCTGCCGCACCGTGAGTGCAGCTTGTCTGGGCGACGAAGTGGGACGCATCGTGAGAACAGCAGCGGTCTGCCTGAAGCTCTCCGGCCTCCGGCAGGTCCTGGTGCCCTTCAGCCGGCTCGTCTTCGTGCACCTGGCCGCCTTGACGGGGCTGGTTCACGTGCTCGACTTGGGCATGGTTTGCCTCGGCTTCTGGCTGCGCTGACACTCCTGTCACGAGGATGCCCTTCGTGCAGATACCAGTGCTGTGCGCGGCCCGTCGGCGCGCCTTTTGCTACCGTGTTGCAATGGGCCCGCGCACCAAAGGCTGGGCAGTGGCTGCTACGTAAAGGCTGGTCGCACGGCCCTTCGGTGCGTTCTCCGGTTCAGTACCGCAGTGGGCCAATGCCTCGTGGGCTGCTCAGATTGGGAGGCGGTTTTCAGAGCTTTCGGCCTCTACGCCAATGCTTGGATCGGCATGTGCGAGAAAAGCGTGCAGTGGAAACTGTTTCTGTCGGTGCGTAGCTCGCGGTGGGAGGCGAAGCTGGCCCCGACCGTTATCAGTTACATCGCTGGGATCAGCGCGAGCGAGAAGGCAGGCAACGGTGGACAGTGGGAACTATTTGTATCGGTGAGAGGCTCGCGACGGCGGTCCGTCGGCGCGTTTTCTCCTGCACTGCCACAATGGACCAGCTGAAATAAGTATTTGGGTCAAGGCTGCTGTGTTTTTCTTTGGTGGGATTTGGTTATGGCCTGTCGCACTTCGTTTTGATTGGGTCAAACACTTTCTGGCATGGTGTTCTGTTGGAGGCGTGCTGGCTTCAGTATTTGCCATCCGCATCTTTCAGTCAGTTCAGTGTTGTCAGGCATAGTGCCTGGGCCCGTTATTTTCGCTATGTCGCTCGTTGGGCGCAGGAGGGAAGGAACTACACATTTGTTGCTGTCTTGCAAGGTTGTCTGTGGAGGAGGCGATCTGGATGACACACGTGAAAGGTTGCCCAGTTATCTGTGGTGCAAATCATAGTAGGGCCGAATCGAGCCGAGTTCATGTCAGCCAGGTCTGTTACGCTATCAGTGTGTGGTGAGGCATCCATTTGAGGTGTGTGCGGGGTGCACGTCTTCCTCAAGCTCTGGCCATGTACCCGCGCTGAGGTCCGTCTCCTGGTTCGTCTCCTTCGTGGGTGTGAGCTCAAGGGGCGGCCTCTAGAGTGTTGAATCATATCGCGCCGCGATGGGGCCCATTCCATTACATTACATTCCTCCTCTTCCTCTTCCTCCTCCTTCACCTCGGAGGAGGAGGAGGGGAGGAGACGCGGTGTTTGTATCTGTCTTGCCCCCGTGGGAAGTCACCAGCCACGCACCTTCACCGATTCTGCCAGGCCGACTCTGTCAGGCACTCCTTCGTCTCACAGCATCCTTCCCTAGGGCCGTTCGCGGACGGCCCCGGTGCCCGGCTGCAGAGGCGCGGCCCAATGTTCTGCGCCGTGATCTCTGACTGGAGAGCCCAGACCCCTTCGAGTCATGAAAAAATCACGACGGGAGGTTTTTCTCTATTTTCGGCCTCTGGGGGCCCTTACCGGCCTTCGGGACCGTCGAAAAACGATTCGGGATGAAATACCGGTCCCGGGGGATGGGTCCTCCGGACCTTTTGGGGTCGCGTCATGAAGAAATCATGGCGTCGGGGGTCTGAGACGGTCGCTTCCGGGCGGGTCTCGGGCGGCCGTTCGGGACGATCCGTGCACCCCTGGAACGCCCTCGGCGAGTCGCAGCAGCTGGAAAGCATCCCGAGGCTGGAGAGTGCATCACGAGAAACCTTCGGGAACCGCAGGAAAAAACACGCATCCCGCCCATGTTTTCACGATCCGAGGGCCCCCTCCCCCCGGGAGGCTCTTTTCCGACACGGAGATGGAGCTCGTCGACATCTCCGTGCACGCGGTCCTCGAGGAGGACGCGTTCGCCCAGCAGTCGTCCGCCGAGGATCGAAGAAGAACAAGGCATACAGCCAAGACGCCGAGATGAAGTGCGTGTATTGGGAAGTCTAACCTCCTTCCAAAAAAAGGTGAATTGGGAAGTCGAACTTGCTTCCCCAAAAGAGGTTTTTTGGAAGCAGGTTCGATTTCCCAACACACGCAGTTCATCAAAACCTTGTTTTTGGAAGCAGGTTCGACTTCCTAACACCCTGCGTGTAGTGGGAAATCGGGCATGTGCTTCGACATGCAGGAGGAATATGCAAAAATAGTCTAAAAGTAGTCAGGGGACGATTATTTTACGACTGAATGACTATGTTCTGTCATGTTTTAAGTATGTCTCATGCTTCTCCCCAGTTCTGCCTGTCGGGGGATATGCCCGACCTCAAGCAAGGGCCGCTTTGGGTTCGGAAGGGCTCGCTGTTCCTTGGGCCATTCCTTGGTTGATCCTCTGTCCCTCTTCGTGCGCCCAGGCGTTTTTGGCGCCAAAACGGGGGCTTCGTTCTTTATTCAGCCTTCCTTATTTCAGCAGCCCTTCTGTAAGCATGAAATTATCGCAACTCCAAAGCGGGATTCGGGGAAGAGCAAATATCGATACCGCTACCCTTCCTTCGTTTCCACGGCAGGATTCTTCCCGCCCTGAAGGTCAGAATGACCCCAGGAGAGCTCCAAAGGCAGCAGTATCTTAGAGGAGGAAAAACTGCCCAAACATAATTTGTCGGAATTCCGCGCGAAGAGGGACAAACATCGCGACGGCGAGTTTGTGGCAATTTTCGGTTCCCAGGGGGGAAAGACAAACTGTGTAATCAGAAGGTTCCGGAACTCCGCGCGGATTTCTTGGATCGGCGCTGGGCACTCCTGGCGGCGCCTCCGGCTCCGCCCCTGGCGCGCACCGCGTGCCGGGGAGGGGGTTCCAGCGCCGATCCCAGCAATAGTTTGTGTGTGTGATCGCCCCACTGATGCCTCACCGCCGGAGCAGTCCCTCTGCCCAGCTACGTGGGCGCCGAGCTCGAGCGCCCCGGCCTCCTGCCGCCTCGCGCCCCTGGCGAGGGCCCCCCGGCGGCGAGGAGAACGGGGGCGACTTGGACGGCGCCGGACGGCGCCCCGCGGACGTTTTCGTCCCGCGCTGGCGCAATGGCGTGCCCGCGGCCATGGATTTTGCCGTCACCAGCGGGCTCCGCGCGGACGCGCTGGCGGCTTCGGCCGAGGCTGCGAGCGCGGCGGCGGACGGCTGCGAGGAGGGCGAGCGCCTCCACCAGGACGCCCAGCGCCGCTGCTCCGAGGCGGGCCTCCTTTTCATACCAATGGTATGCGAGGCGCACGGCGGCGGATGAGGGCGGGACGCGCGCCGCGCTTTCGCGGCCCTTGCCAAACGGCTCGCCGACGCCTCAGGAGAGGACGCCGCACTCGCGGCGGCGCAGCTTGCCCAGCGACGCTCCATCTCCCTGCACAGGGAGAACGCGCGGGCATTGCTGCGTCGCCTCGAGTCGCGACCGAGCGCGACGCCGCCGGCGCGCCTGGCGGCCGGGACCGCGGCGTCGACGGCTGACGCCGCGTGAGCGGTGACAAGCGCTCGCCGCCGCAGCGCAGGCGCGGCCGCCTTTCCCCGGGCCGCCCCTGGGCCTTGACGCCCGCCAACCGCGCGGGTGCGCAGCGCCGGCCGCTGGTCCGACGGCCGCTCGCCAGCCGGCCCCAACGGCCGCCGACGGCGACGACCACGCCCCCCGCCCGCCTCCGCCCGCCTCCGTCCCCGCCCACGCCGTTGCCCCCGCCCGCCCCCAGCAGTCGACCACGAGCAGCTGACGACTTCACCCGCCCGTCCTCCCGTCCGCCCCTACGTGCGTGTTTGCTGCCCCTGCCTCTCTCCCCCCCCCTCCTCTTATCGGGAAAACGTAAGACTCGGGCAGGCCGGAACTCGGGTTTGCCGAATTTTTTTGGACGAGCGCGTCCTGAATTTTGACGGTCCCGTTTTCGTGGGATGTCTGCAGCGGGAGCCCGCGTCAAATTTCAGATTGGGTCTCGTCATTTTTATGATGGCCCCCGTCAGGCCAACCCGAGCCCCCCGTACCCGAGTCTTACGTCTCCCCGATCTTAGTCCGTATATGTTCGGTGCGTTTTTCCTCGTCCTCCCTCCCCTCCTCCCCTCCTGCCGGCCAGGAGATCCAACCCGCGGGCGGCCGAAGTGCGATCGGCGGGCCTGGGGCTGTCCAGGATGGCCCCGAGACAGCTGTTGTGTACGCGGGCCCACCAAGCGAATGCGGCGCCCACAAGGGGCCCGCGTTGCCGGGAGGTGTGCCGGGAGGCGTCGTCCTTGGGCTGGTGTCTCATGGACTCCTTGCATCATTTAACCATACAACTACGCTTGTCCTGGAATCCGGATTGGCCTGGCCAAGATCGGCGTAGGTGGACAGTTGGCCGATTTACGTTTGTGACTGTCTGTCAGCTTTTGAAGTGCATGGTCCAATCGGACGTGCGCCTGACCAGGGAAAGGGTTTCCTTCTGGGGCCCTTGTGGTGGCGCCTTCCCGTTCTCTTCGGCCACTTTTTGAAGCATGGGTTCGCCCGGTCCAGATCGACGCAATATGTATATATATATATACAGATAATATGTATATATATGTAGACCCATCTATCTATCTATCTATCTATCTATCTATCTATCTATCTATCTCTACATATGTGTGTGTGTGTTGAGCCGTTTTCTTTCCCTTTAAGCATCTCCCCGCCCGTCGGGCGGCCCCAGGCGACGACGGCGGGGACGACGACTTCGGCGGGGGGGGAGGCGGAGGGGGAGGAGGACGACGGCGAGGACGACGACGACGGCGAGGAGGAAGATGATGATGATGATGATGATGATGATGATGAAGATGATGATGCTGATGATGGTGGTGATGATGGCCATGATGCTGATGTTTGTGACGATGATGGTGATCAAGGTGGTACGGGTGATATTGACTGTGGTGATGATGATGCTGATGATCGTGGTGATGATGATGTTGATGATGATGACGATGATGATGGTGATGATGTTGCTGGTGGTGATGATGAGGATGAGGAAACAAGGATGAAGAGGCGGAGGAAAATGCGCAGCTGGAGGAGCACGAGGATGAGGAGGAGGAGCAGGAGGAGGAGGAGGAGGAGGAACAAAAGGAGGAGGATAAGGTGAAGGTGGCGGAGGAGGAAAAAGGCGAACTGAAGAGCCATAAACCTCTTGAATGCCTCTCGGAGTCTCTTCGGATGTCCCTTGCAAGTTTTTGGGGGGCCTCTTGGGGCGTCTGGGAATGTATATTCGCGGGCCCAGGGTCGTCCTTAAGCGTCTTGGGTGCCTCCGGGATCCTCTTGCGGCCTCTTGGGGGATCTCTTGGGAGCCTCCTGGGGGCCACAGGGGCGCCTCTTGGGGCCGTGTGTGCACCTCGTGGGGCCCTCTTGGGGCGCTCTTTGGAGCTTCAGGGGCGTTCCTGGATACACCATCTTGGAAAACATCGAGCAAACAAGAGAGGGGTTTCACTGAGACTCACCCTCGGGCTGTTTCTGGGGCTCTCTTGGGCGCTCATAAGGGGCCATCTTGGAGGCCTCTTGGGTTCCTCCTGGAACCATTTTTGGCCATCTTGGAGCCACCCTGAAGCCTCGGAAGGCCATCGGAAGCGAAAAGACGAGAAAGCATCACACATCGATTTCCCGTGGGTGTTGCAAGGGTTCGGGCCTCTTGGCGGTCTTCAGGAGAGGCTCCGTGGCCACCTGGAGCCGTCTTGGAGCGTTCTTGGGTCCTCTTGGAGCATCTCGGGAGCCATTGGGCTATATTGAGCCATTTTGGAGGTCAGCTTGGGCTTTCTGATGCGCTCTTGAAACCTTCTTGGGCCATCTTGGACGCTCCAACGCGTCGCGGAACCCCTTGTCAAGGTCCAGGGGAGGGGGCATGGGAAGGCCAAGCGCCAAGCCCTTCCCCGAGGGGGGAGAAAGGGGTTGGAAGAGAAAGCGCTCTGGACCACCTACGCCCCAAAGGGCTGGTGGGACTCGCTAAACCACTCACGTCCTGAAGGGCTTTGGGATTCGCCTGTGTCTTATGTGCGCTGCAGCAACTTGCTGCACAGTAGACCAGTGCCTGCTTGCCCGTCCGAGCTGCGCTCTAGCTCCAGGTCCGCGACGAAAAAGTGTTTACGTAGTTTCCGTCCTAATAGATGATCGGGGGTCCCAAAACCGTGTGGTGTCAGACCGGGCGGCCACCTCGAAATCCCAAGAGACCCACGCCGCGGTCCGTCACCGCACGGTCTTGGGACCTCGGAGGCTCCGGTCGCCCGAGTCGCCCCCGGAGAGCGACCCGAGTCCCAAAGCCGTGCGCTGACCCCGAGTCCCCACTGACTCACCACGCGGTGTGGTCACTACACCGTTTCGGGGCCCCCGAGAGGAGGGAGAGCGGAGCTACTCCGCGGACGCCAAGCGGAGGATGTACACGGGCCGCGGCAGGTCGTTCTCCGCCAGGTCGAGCCGTGAGGGTGTGGGAGGCGGCTCCTTCATGAAAGTGGTGTCCGAGGAGCGGCTGAGGCCCAAAGAAGAAAAGCATGCTGGTGCCGCTGCCCTCCTCGTCGTCGTCGTCGTCGTCCGCCTCCTCCTTTTCTTTCTCTTGCAATCCTTATTCCCTATTTGAATATACTCCTACTCCCCCTTCTCCCCGGCTGATAACCGCCCCATCTGGGACCTCCCATCCGAACCTGCAAAAAACAGTACAAGATCAACGTTTTTCCTCTCAACATGGACGTTGTGTCGTCCACGTCGGTACATCCACTGCAACAAATTCCACAAAGTGCACACGCGCGCGTTCATGCCAAAATCCTACCAGCACACACCGTGCTTGCAATCATTTCAACACAAACACATAAAACAACCCAATGGTTTTGCATCACAAATCATCGGAATTCCTGCCCGCGCGCAATTGCTGAAGTTATCGGACAACCATACGATTTCCATACTTTCGTGAAACAGCCAGCGATCTCATCATGCCGCGCGGTGCATTCGCGATGCTCTGTCATGCACCCAGGGCGTGAATCCTGTGCAACAAGTACAACGCGGGCGACATGCGCGCGCGTCGCCGCGAGCGCATATCCAAATCCTTCCAGAGTCGTCGCCATCATCGGCACCGTCGCTGGCCTTGCCGTCGTTGTCGCCATCATCGCGGGTCACCGCCCTCCTCATCATGTCGCCACCGTGGTCGACGTCATCATGCCATCGCGCCGGCCCGAATCACCGACATGCACCGAGGTGCTCGCGCGCTGGCGCGGCCTTTGAAACGCGTTGGGCCACTTCCCATCGGCCATATACTAGCTGGCTGATCTGCGCGTGCGATGCGGTTTGCCAGTTCAGTTTCCTGGGGTTTCCGGGGGTTTCCTGGACCTGCTGGGGTTTCCTGGAGGGGTTCCTGGCGTCTCCTGGGCCTTGCTGGAGCCTCCAGGGGAAGGACTCGATGGGGCCTTCAGGGGACTCCTGGGGCCTCCTGAGGCTCCCTGGGGTGCCCTGCAACATCCTGGGGCTTCCTAGGGCCCTCTTGAAGTTTCCTGGGTCCTGTTGGGGCATCCTCGGCTCGTGCTGAAATGCCCGCGCAGCCTTTGAGGCGAGCTGGGGAGCTCCCATCCGTAACCGTTGTCGCGGCCGCATCAGCTGTGCCAAACCAGCTCGCCGATGTGATCTCGGCTCCCGGTTGTGCTAACACTGTTTGTTATGTTGTGGGAGGGCGGGTGGGAGTTGGCATGCCGTGCATTTCTCGCTCGAGCTGACTAACTTGATCCCTACTCCTACTCCTACTCCTCCTCGTCTTCCTCCTCAAGCCGCCGCCGCGGCCCTTCGGGGGCGCATCGCGGCCCACCGAACAGTCATACTCGGGCCAGGGGAGCGGGGCAATGATGAACATTTCTTTCTCGCCGGGCCTGCTGAGTGGGGAGGCCCCCGGGCGGCTCGTCGGCTCTTCGTCGCGAACGACCGCCAAATGGACGCGGCCGGCCTGCTGGCCGACGCCATGATCGGCCTCGTCGAGTTGTTATGTAGAAATCTTGATAAACAATCTTTCTGCACGACTAGCTGGTCGCTGTGGCGCGATCAGGCTCAAGTCGAGCGAGTCGGGCGCCCTCTGCATGGCGATGTACTTCCCCGTGCGGATCGGGGAGGCCAGGCGTCCTACCGCGCGATCGTGCAGGCCATGGTCTCATGGCGCAGAGGCGCCATGGAGAGCGTGGGGACACGATGCGCGCCTTTTATTCGGATAGATTTGAATGACAAGCTTGGCTACGCGCGGGATGAGATTGTGAACGGACAACCCATCATCGACGTTGACGACCCACGCGCTGGCTGCTTTCAGAGGGAGCAGGAGGGCCTTGCAGGCAAATTGTGGCATCAGTTCCTGCGCGACTCGGACATGGTGGCGCTAAATGCGGCGTTCCCAGCTGGTGACGCCCACTTTTGAGCTCGCGGCCACTCGAGCAGGATCGACTTTCTGCGCGCGCCAGTTGGATTGCTGGCCCATGCAACACACTGCGTGGTGCTCCGTGGGGCAGGACGACGGCGACAGCCCATCCATGCACTTGACGACAGGGACCACCGCCCAGTCTTCGCGGAGCTCTCCCTCTCGTTCGAGGCTCACGCGCAGCCCGGGCAAACGTGGGATTACGACAATATCGCGACACAACTCAGAGGGGCCGAGGCGTGCATTCAGGCGGCGGAGTTGGCGCACAATTCCACGATGGACATCGACGAGGGCAACTGGACCAGGATGTGCGCTAGGCCGACTACGGATGAGGTCTGAAATTCTGCAGCCTCGATGTTGGCCAATGCGGCGAAGGGGGGTCTTCTCGAAACCGAGCGCAGAACAGACCGGGGAGACGGAGCTTGAGAAGCAGAGATCGGATCTCTTGGCTCAACGCAAACATATGCGAAAGGTGCACATTGGTCAGCTCTCCCAGGACTACTTCAACGTGGAGCTCGAGCTGGCCAGAACGACCTTCCGCATGCGACGTTTATCTCGCGACATCGCGTTTGCCGAGAGCACGGGGCTCACAAACCAATTGAATGAAGCGTGGAAGGAACGCGATCGCTACCTGGATCAGACGTCTGAGCAGACGGGGCCGCGGACCTGGACATCGGGGGTAGTTTGCGACGCGGGGCGAGAACTGCGAGTCGAATGGGGGTCTCTAGATATCTTCAGCAACCGGCGCGAGACGAGGGGCTGGGCGCGGTGCCGCGCGACCTCGAGGCGGAGCTTGCGCGACGCTTCGACGAGCAGCGCATGGGCGACGAGGTGCAGCACGCGGATCAGATGCGTTATGGCACTATGCAGATGCGCGGCTTTCAACGAGCACAATAGGATCTCGAAGGAATAGTCCGGGAACTTCGAGCGCCGAAGAGGCGAGCCGTGCCGAGCTTGTCTATGCTGTCCGAGCTATGGTTGCTTTTCCTGGACCCCGAGACGCGGGGGGGGGTTCGACGGGGCGGTGTCGGCCATGATGCGCGGCCAGCCACGTATCTCGCCTTCTCCGAGCGTTTCCTGGACATCATCGCTAGTTTTCGGCGCGCTGGCAAGACCCCGCTTATCTTCGACGTCTCATGCTGTCTTGGTCTCGACAAACACAATAGGACGCTGGGGCCCTGGAGCCAGAGATGGATGCGCCTTTCCTGCCCCATTGGCACGTGCTGGAATTCATGCCTGCGGCAGCGTGGTGGCCGAGAATGAGAGCGACTGCCCCACTTCCGCCGCGGTTTCGCGCGGCAGAGGCGTCGAGAAGATGTCGCTGCAGCGCATGTCCCGCGTCGCTGTGAACGAAGATGCTACTGGCGCCTTTGCGAGCACAACAAGGGGCACGATACTTGACGCGCTTGAGTCTCTTTATCGTTCCGAAGATGTCGGTTCCCAGCGCGTCGGGGCAATTCAGGGGGCCTTTCAGGTCGACGCGAACGATGGGCAGGTGATTCTCCGACCGACCACGGGCGAGATGATGGGGCACCCCGACCCAGCGAGGGCTTTCCCTTACTACTATCTCCTGGGGCTCAACCCGTTCCTTCCACGTCCTCCAACTCCTACTCCGAGGCTGGAGAGATCAACGAGATGGGGCGCAGGTATCGCGATGTACGCGGACGTCACCGCGCAGACGGCGGTCCCCCAGCAGACCCCCATGGGCCCCTCAGCTTTGCTTGCCACGGCGCACTTCGTGGGGCAGGCTTCCTCTAGCAGCAGCGCTCTTGGGGAATCGCTGGAGGACGCGTCGGCGTTTGTCTCTCTCGGCCCCGACGAGAGGGCGTCTCTGGCGCGGATATTTGGTGCTGGCAGTATTGCTAAGCGCGAGATCGTTCGCAGTCGTTCGGTATCTTATCCAGGGCTCTTGGAACGGTCTCTACGTATCTTGGGGAGTGCATGACCGCGACAGGCTCGTTGCGTGCCGAGAAGGTGAAGAGGGCTCAGGCTGGGAGGTCGGGCTAGGCATGATATCACATGTCCTTGTATATCCTGCAGCTTACGGCGTCAAGCGCCTGGCGTTGCGCAGGGGGCCTAGATGTCGGGCATGGAGGGTCGGGTCCCAGGTTAGAGCTACGAGAAAGAGTCAGGTGCCATTCTCCAGCGCGCGATGAGACTGGGTCTAGGCAGGACGGGGCTCGCGGAGATGCCTGACGGTGAGCTCGGGCGTTGGCCTGCCACCGAGGTCATCCGTTTCTGGGGGGTTCCCCGCGGCCGAGGATTTTCGAGTCCGGCGCCTTAAGCGGCGCCGCAGATGGTCAAAGTACCCGACCGACCACCGGCAGGTGCGGGCTTGTATCCCCTTGGCAGTCTGGGGGGCGGGGACGTTCTTCGTGAAGACTACACCTTGCGTCCTTCTGCTGGCCCCTGGGCTCGGCGCTTCTCGGCGGACCTAGAGTTCGCTTACTCGAAAAACCGAGGATGTCCAGGACTTGGCGCCGCAGGAGGTCCCTAGGCTCAAGATTTTTATTCGGGCGACTTCAGGGACTGGGCCTTCGTAGATCTCACGGTTATTCGGGCAGATTGTTTCGCGCATCGCGTCGCGCCACCTGAGCGCCAAACAGTCCCCGGGGGCCCTGAAGGCGCACTGGAGGATGTGGAAGAGTTGCCCGGGAACTTCAGATGCAAACTTCGGGGCGAGCGCGGACAGGTGTGCGGGGCGCAATTTCCCAACGAGAAATCTCTTTTCTTACGCGCGGGGCGGGTGCACAGGGTGCGAAACGAGGCCTCGCTGCGGGCGGTCACCAACCGAGGCTTCAGGTGCCCGCAAGCTGTGAGCACGCGTGAGAACGCGCAGAGACGCGTCGCGCGAAACTACGCTCGGAATATTTGCACGAGAGGCCGAAGCGCGTTCAGAGATTTCGAGGCAAAGATTCCAGAAACCGTGGAGTGTCCAGCCTGTAGTTTTTCAGTTCAAAGTCTTCTTGAACTTCAAGGGCGCGCGCGACTCCGCGGCCCCCGGCCTGCGCCGCGAGTATTTCTTTGAGGCCATCATGGCCTCGAAGAAACACTCGCGGAACCCGA